GTTGCATTGACAATATTTTTTAAAGTTCTTGCATTTCCATTATTATTTTTTTATAGATTATGCAAGCACAAATGTGGTTTGGTGCTACTGGGCAAGGCAAAAAAAGCTTCACTCATACCCAATGTTAGGAGGCAATGAAGAATTGTAAGAGATTCCAAATTATTCTAACGGGTCCAGAGGTGGTGTTGAACGAAACGCCACTCCATGAGATACCAACATCGGATTCACCTATGGATTCCCCGATGAGTCAAGACTCACCTATCGAAAGGGAGCCTAGGCCTATTGGGAGGAAAGCGGCGAAGGCGAAGAGAGGGAGTAATTCTACAAAGAATGCATCTAAATTTTTGGAGGAAATTTCAAAGCACCAAGCCATGAGGATTGAAATGGATATGAAACAACAAGAGCATGATATGGCAATTCAACTAGAATATGCAAAAGAAAGGGAGTATATACGCAAAGAAAAGGAGTATGTACGCCAAGAAAACATTGAAAAAAAGGATCGGGAAACCATGGCCATGAATACAAAGGGATGTTATGAAGGGATGTTATGAGACGAAAGCTTTTTCGTGACGATGGACCTAGCAACACGGATTGGTTAAATGATCAAAACCATTAAGTTAGTTTGCTTGCCTTTCATTTCATTGTATTTTTTTAAAAAATAATTTTATTAAAATTAAAAACGTTCACCAAATCTGTCTAAATACACATCTCTCAACCCTTGAACTGCTAAGGAAGTTATTACATTAAAACTGAAAAACAGAATTTATTCCGAAAATTAACTACTAAACTTTGAATGCGGTTTTGGCAGGCCAAACGACCTCAGAATGCCAAAATCCACCATACATCACAGCAAAGCTGTGAGTTTGACTCGTGGCGTCATTCCCTTTCCGAAAAGGTCTTTTGCATCCTAATCAAAGCTCGGACGATGAAAAAAACAAAAAAAAGAATAGTAGTTGCCATGGGAAGGGTTTGACTGCTGGAAATGCTCTTAGGGTTTATCGGCCGAAAGCTCAAAACCTTGGAGCTCAAGCCCATCAACTTCGTCCCAATTTTGAATTTTTTTTTACTGACTCGAAATTAACCAATATTCAAATTTGGAGTTGCAGAGGCGGGTTCTTCATCTTCGGGGCTGCAATTTAGGGTAAGAAATTTTTTTCTTCTTATTCCGTCTTCGGTTTTCTGAAATTTTGGATCTTGAACTTGTTGGTTTTCTGTGTTCTTTACTCGCAGATTTCTGGTTTTTTTTTTTATAAAAGGTTCACTCTGATTGTTCTGAATGGTTAAGCTCTCTGGGTTCTGTTCAATTTAAAAGAAAAATTAGGGCTTTATGCTGTTCAATTTGTGTGGCTCAAAGCATACATATGTCTCTCTCTTCCTCGGCTCCTCCATCTCTTCTTCCTCCTCTCTCCTTATTTTTTTTTGGGTTCGATTGGCTGGTCGAGTGATTGGGTTTAATTGTGTTCTGTTTGACAGTGATGCTTGTGCTCTGTCTTTGTAGATGTTGAATTCATATAGTGTGAAAATGCTGAGTGATTAGGTGGACGGATGGTGGAGGGAGGCTGTGGTGGGTTTGACTGTGGTGGAGGCTATGGCGTTGGCGTCGGAGTGGGTCTCACAGAAGAAGGCAAAGAGAGAAAGGAAGGGACAATGGAGTGTTCGATTTTTGGGTTAGCATTTGAGAAAGGAAGAGAAAGTATGATTATGTTCCGAGGAATTCAAAACTCCGGAATCGGAAAGTTCCGAATTTTTTGGGAATTTTCCGGAATCGGAATTAGAAGTGTTTATTGAATTCCGAAGGGTTTTGGATGGAAATTGTAATGGCTATTTCCGATCCGATCCGGCAGAATTACAGGCCTAAGACTGAGGTTATTGGAACATGACACTAATGATTTGCTAGACATGAGCTCCCTAAGATGCATTGCAAAGCATCCAACCATTTCACTCGTAGACTCATGCACTACCCTCAAAGAACTCAAGCAAATCCACTCTCAACTGCTTGGCAACGGTCTTCTCAACGACCCTCACCTTTCTGGCCAATTTGTTGCCACCATAGCCATCAGAAACCCCAACAATTTGGGTTATTCCAATAAAGTCCTGGACCAATGTGAGAATCCTACCCTGTTCACCTTCAACTCCATGATCAGAGCCTATTCTAAAAGCTCCACGCCATCTAAAAGCTTTTACTTTTATAGCAGAATTCTCCAATCGAGGGACCATTTTTTACCTGATAACTACACCTTCAACTTCTTGGTTCGCACTTGTGCACAGCTTTTGGCACGTGAGACTGGTGCTTCGGTCCATGGTGCATTGACTAAATGTGGGTTTGAGAATGATCCACATGTTCAAAGCGGGTTAATTTTCATGTATGCTGAATTGGATTGCTTACATTCATGTCATAGAGTGTTTGGAGAAATTGTGGAGCCTGATTTGGTATGCCAGACTGCTATGGTAAGCGCCTGTGCTAGGTGTGGTGATGTTGGTTTTGCAAGGGAGCTGTTCAATGAAATGCCTCAAAGGGACCCTATTGCTTGGAATGCGATGATTGCAGGGTATGCGCAATGTGGGAAGTCTAGGGAAGCCTTGAATTTGTTTCATTTGATGCAAATGGAGGGTGTGAGGGTCAATGAAGTGTCTATGGTTTCGGTTTTATCCGCATGTTCCAATTTGGGGGCATTGGATCAAGGGAGATGGGCTCATGCATATATAGAGCGAAACAAGCTACGGATGACAGTGACGTTGGGGACTGCACTTATTGACATGTATGCGAAATGTGGGAACATGAATAAGGCCATGGAAGTGTTTTGGGGGATGAAAGAAAAGAATGTGTATACTTGGAGTAGTGCACTGGGGGGGCTAGCTATGAATGGATTTGGTGAGAAATGTCTTGAGCTTTTCTCCCTTATGAACAAAGAAGGGGTTCATCCAAACGAAGTTACGTTTGTTTCAGTTCTAAGGGGCTGCACTGTTGTTGGACTAGTTGAGGAAGGTCGTCAACATTTCAACTCAATGATGAAATTGTATGGGATTGAACCTCAGCTAGAGCACTACGGGTGCATTGTTGATTTATATGGCCGAGCTGGGTGTTTAGATGAAGCGCTGAACTTCATAAACAGCATGCCAATGATGCCTCATGCAGGTGCTTGGGGGGCTTTGCTTAACGCTAGTAGAATGTACAAGAATATGGAAATAGGTGAGCTTGCCTCGAGAAAGATAGTCGAACTAGAGGCCAAGAATCATGGTGCTTATGTGCTTTTGTCCAATATATATGCTGATTCCAAGCTATGGGATGGAGTTAGTAATGTGCGGCAGACAATGAAGGCTAAAGGTGTGAGGAAGCTTCCTGGTTGTAGTGTCTTAGAGGTTGATGGTGAAGTTCATGAGTTCTTAGTAGGAGACAAGTCACATCCTAGGTATAATGAAATTGAGACTATGTTGGGAGAAATCTGTAGGCGGCTGAAATTAGCAGGTTATGTGGCTAACACCAATCCTGTGTTGTATGATATAGAAGAAGAAGAGAAAGAGGATGCATTGTGTAAACACAGCGAGAAGGTTGCGATGGCTTTCGATTTGATAGTTTAAAAGGAGTGCCGATTAGGATTGTGAAGAACCTCAGGGTCTGTTGGGATTGCCATGATGTCACCAAAATGATATCTAAACTTTTTAACAGAGAGATTATTGTAAGAGACAGGAACAGGTTTCACCATTTTCAGGATGGGGAGTGCTCTTGCAAAGGGTATTGGTGAAGTAAAATGCTCATCAATTCATGGGTCTGCTCACAGTTCAAGTCCTGATTGTTGTCTCTTAAACTTGGACAGCTAGAAAGAAGAAGAAACAGAAAGCTGCTTATTTATTCTTTGTTCTCTGATATCATTTGCAATTTGTATTTGTTGTATATTTCTTTAAAAATGATCAATAAAGCCCTACTTTCACTGTCTTTTTCTTTCATTCTCTGTCTAGAGAGCTCAATCTCCAGCTCTGATATTGTTATTGGACCTACCCAAAAATATAACCAGTTTTGCCTTTGGTTGGGATTCTTGGGGGATGGGAGATCTTTTTTAGCTGGCTTTTCTCGCATGAGGGCTTCACTGTTGAAGCTTGATCTGGCTTTCCTGCGGCCGTTAATTTCATTTGTGGCTGCTAATTTCTATGGCGCGAATTTGTTCATCCATTTGGTCCTCTTCTGCACTCGATAAGTTTCTTTTCGTTTGTTCTCCTGTTTGTTTTATATCGCCTTCTTCCTCTTTCCTTCTTTTGTGTTTGCGCTGGTATATGTTGGGTTTGCTTCTTCAATTTTTCAGATTTATCTTTCTTTTTCTCCCCTTTTTTAATTGTGTCTTCTTATGACTTTTTGTAGGTAGTGTTTTGCTGCTTTGGATAGCCCTGTTCAGGGTTCCTTTTTCGGTTCTGTTAAGCGAGAGGTCAGTTTCTTGGTTGGGATTAATTGTTTTTGCTTATGTGAATGGAGCATGGGACTGCTTATTGACTGAATTTATTGTTTTGCATCTGTAAATAGACCATGGGATTGCTTCTTCACTGAATTAGGTTATGACCATAGGGTTGGTTGAAACTAATTTCTATGGTTCTGCAGTGAGTTTTGAATTAATAACAGGCTATTTGTAGATAGATGAGTATTATATGTGTTTAGAGAGGAAAGCCTCTATTTGTTTTTTGATTATTATCAGAGAGGAAAGCCTTCAGGTATAGTTTTATGTATGTTCCAATCCCTTTTGTTTGAGTCCTTATAAGACAGTGTCTTACTGCCAGACAAGAAGTCTTATAAAGGATGGAGTAGCACATGCTAGCTCGCAGATTATATATATGTCCCAATATGTCAGAATTGAGTCATTTGTTTGCTTTGCATTATTTCTCTTTATTTTACTTCAGAATATTGGATTGTAAATGTGTTACTGTTGTTATTGCTGCTCCTTTCACTCGTGCAAATTGATATCCGGATATAATTTGACCCTTTCTTTATTTCACAGCTTGGCTACACCAAAAAGCAAGGGGAGAGGCACTTTCGTGGTGTCATCACTTTGGAGGTATGAGAACCCCTCCAATGCCTGACCTCTTCAAATTTAAGATTATTAGTTATCTTACTCAACCAATTTTAATCATTTTGTAGCATTTTGTGCTTGCATAGGATTTATCGGGAAATATTTAGTGTCCCAATGAATAGAGGTAGGATATGTTTCGATGCTGAGTGTTTTTTTTCTTTTGAATTTTTTTTCCTTGAGGTTCTCAAGAAACATTTCACTTGATTTCTTGACTTGGTGGGCTTGATTGATTTTGATTTTTGAGTCAAAGGTGCTAACTGTGCATACCGGTTTAACTAGGCTTGACATTAGTATATGCATACTGTTTGATCGTTATGGAATCAAGTTAATTCCTTGATAGAATAATAGATATTTGTAATTGTGAAGTTGTTTACACAAAACTAAATTCATGTTGGTGTTAAAAATATGAGCAGCATTTCAGATAGTAATGAAAATTTTGTTATCTCTTTAGTCTTCTCATCCTGTGATCGAGAATGATGTGATGACCTATGTGTTTAGTCATCTTGGTGTATGCACAAAAGCGTTATATTGAAGTCATGTGCTTATAGACAATTATCTGATTTATGTATATTATTAGCCCCTTTTTTTCTTCATTTCCTTTTGAAAATCATTATTTATCGTAAGTCATGTGCTTTTAGACCATTATCACAAACAGAATCTGTGTGTTTTTATTTTTCGCTCTCTTGATCGCAATGAACAAGAAGTTTCTGTTCTACAAAGACTAAAACCAAATTAGAACATAAATCAAATCCATTATTTAAGTTAAGAATGAACTCTAGACCATGCTTTCAGAAAACGGGTGAAGCAAAAAATGCTTCCCTGTAAGTGCTTAATCTAGAAACTCTAAAACACTACGTTCTGCTTTTCACACCACACCTTAGGAAGGACTACTATGTCTTGTCTTTAAACATTATTTTATAGGCACGCCATTAATTTAGTTTTCTATGATTTCCATTAGCTGGAAATCCCAGCAACCAAAGAGATAGCTATTCTTTGCTATTGATCACTAGACTAATGTTTGAAGTTAAAGTTTATACAAATTTTGGAATAGCATTACAAAACTGAGAAGGCAGATTAATAGGAAAAAATATATATATATACTTCGACAGATTTCAGATATGTCACCTGAAGTTATACATGAGTTTTAATTGTCACCTCAGAAAAAAAAAAAAAAAAAAAAAAAAAAACAAAACAAAACAAAAAAAAAAAAAAAAAAAAAAAAAAAAAGTTTAAGAGAAATACCGCCTCAATTTTTCAAAATATTCCAACTGTGTCACCTAACACTAACTCTGTCAAAAATTCTGTTAAAAACCATATTTGCTATCAAAAGAGTGCTTCACTTCTCTTTCTAGCTGTGACTATAAAGAGACCCAGGAGCAATTCCCTAGGGGTCGTCTACCATTTATTTTCCTTCCCATTAAAATCTACGTTCTGCAGAAAATTTCCAGTCACCTAAAGAGTACAAATTGAGCATCCCCACAAAAGGTCAAAACCCCAGCAAAATCAATATTTATTATACTATGACATTCCTGAATCTTTTACTTCAAATCCCATCCTTGGACAAACATTGAGGAACTTAAACATTGAGCTGATTGTTAGGGGACTACCCACTGATTGGTACATATGGCAGGCATTGTGCAAGGCAAGCTTTGTACTATTGATAGTGTTTTGCAGTGAGAACTTGAGGTTAGCAAAGAAATGTACTGCAATTAGTGATTTAGGTACACAGGGTTAATATATAATTTGGAAGTTCCGAGTTGGAACATAACATGGATGTCAATGTGGTTTGGCTTACCCACACGAGACGGATGTACAAATAGAGGTTTCGAAGATTTGTACGAGACGAGTTGTAGTTTAATTTATATTTAATTATATGTAATCTTTCATTTCTGCAAACTATTTCAAAAATTTGTGACTCAAGCAAATTTTTCCCATGAATTGCACAGGTTGAAAACTAGTGTAAGAACAAAAGCAAAATACTAAGGGCCCGTTCGGTAACGTTTTAAGAGGTTGTTTTTATTTTCAGAGAACAAAAACGAGGCGAAAACACGTTCGGTGGCCCAAAAACAGAAAACTCTGAGAATGTTTTCATAAAATAAAAACAAGTTTATGTGTACTTGTAGAAAACATGAAAAAGTTGTTTTCATTCTCATGGAAAACGTTTTCATAAAAATAACTCACATATTATTATTTCAAATTGTACTACCAGACACGTTTTCATTGTTTTTGTTTTCTGAAGATGTTTTCTAATTAATCTACCAGACGCATTTTTATTCCCTGAAAATGCAAATTCATTTTCTTGTTTTCATTCTTTGAAAATATTCTCATAAAACACTCTCCGAAAATGTTACCAGACGGGCCCTAAGTTTCCAGAGTGAAGCTTAATGGACCATCTTCTTATGAGCTATATCAATGCTTAGATCCAACAAAACTTGCAGCCAAAACTTACGGACTAAGAGCACAACCTCCCTTTGCATGACCATCCATTTTTGTAACAATAACATTTTAGTAGAAACATAAACACTTATTCAACAGAAATGCAAACTTATAAAAACAAATGTGAACATAATATGTTGTAACTTGTAACAAAACTTACGCACTAATTAAGAGCACCACCTCCCTTTGCATGAGTTATGATCCAGCATTTTGCAAAGTTCGTAAAATATGACCTACAAAAAATAAGGGGGCGTAAGGTATCCTATTCAAATAGGGAACTCAAAAACTTTGATTTTTCTTAAAAACAAGGAGTTCTTAAATCTATTTTTAAGATTCAAAAACTTGTTTGGTATGCAACTTGAAAACTGTTTTCAAATTTTAAAAATTTGAGAACTTGTGGGTTGTTAGAAAAAAAAACTTAAAAAACAGATATTTTTTGTTTTTAATAATTAGGGTGTATTTTAATTGTTCTTGAGTTTGAGTTTTTAAAAATAGGGTTATCAAACAGGTTTTCTTTGTTTTGGACTCAAATTCTGTATTTGAATTTAAAAAGTTGGATTCAAGTTGAATATTAAACAAACCCATTTCATTAGAAAACATATGAAATTTTCTGAGAAACTAGAAATATAAACAAGAAGAGAATACAGCCCCAAACCACTTCTTTCTAAAACCGTACTGGGCTGGCCCCGTCCGACCCCTTGCTAAATCAAAAACTTAGGAATTTTGACCAAAAAAAAAATAGCCGAATAAAAAACGGTGGGTTGGACTCGATGGCAAAAAAAAAATAAAAAAAAATAGTGGTTTGGACTCGACTTCCATCATCTGAAGTTCTGAACTATCCCACAACGCTTGGCCATCGTGACAGCAAGCAGTTTGCGTCGACAGTTAAAACAGTCAGCGACATAGAAATGGTGGCGACAACTGCCTCAGCCACAGTAACTGGAGTCTCCAGCCTTCGCTACTCTTCCAGGTCGGACCACCGGCGGATAAGGCCCGCAAAGAAGGTCACGGGTTACACAAAATTCGTCATCCACTACCCAAACTGCTTCTCTTCCACGAGGGTAAAAGGTTCTTTGCCTATCCGAGCTCTTGACCCTCGAAGAGGAGGAGGAGGAGAAGAAGAAGAAGAGAGTTCAGGCATCGCTAACACTACAAGCGCTTCAAACTCTCAGGTACCACCCTTTTTCCTTTTTCTTGTTCTTTTGAAACTTGGGTCTTGGCCTCTGTTTTCTTTGGGTTTATGGGTAGTTTGCTTTCTGTCTATCATCGCTATATGATTGTCTTTGATGGGTTTACATATCTATTGGGTTTTTCAAATAAGCCTGTAAGGATTTTATGATATGAAACTATGGTGGGAAATTTTTTTCTGGTTCTGCAGGGAAATTTAGTGTTCATTTTTTAGATAGATAGCAACTTTGTTCATTTTGTACAAGCATATTGAATATGAATGTCTGTATTCAATGCTACAATTATTTTCTTTGGTAATTCACTCATGTAGTTAAAGAAGAAAAAAAAGAGATGTAAGCTTCAATATATGTATGAGAGATTTGTGTCCAGGTAAAGAGCGAGCATGATTGTTTTCTTAGATATGAACTCTTGGTCCCCTTCTAACTGTCTAGTTTTTAGTTTTTCATCTGAAGATTTCAATTTCTGTTTTGCTTGCTTGGCTAAAAAAATGATCAAACTTTGACCAGATGGAGTTGTTTATCAAATATTAATTTTGTTCTCTTTTATCGATGGCTTCAAATTTGCTGATTTCTGATATCTTACCGAGCCAATCTGAAAGAAACATGTTGTTGTTGTTTGGCTCACCGAAAACATATGCAAAGGAAGAGCATTTGTTGCAAACTAGGAAGAGAGTGGCTGGTTGTTGGGTTTGCAGCTGGAGGAAGCTTCTCTCCCTCCTAAGTTGAAAGGCTGAACTACACCATAATTATAAGGGGGAGCAGATGCAAGGGAGCAAAGTAGCTGAGAGCTAGTGAGCGAGGAGAGAGTCCGAGTGTTGGAGTCTTGTAAGTCTAGAAACCAAAGAGAGAAAACAAGTGTGTGAGTGTTCAATTCATCCTTGTGAGTTGTGAGAGTTTGTTACATATGCCATTGAGAACAAGATCAAAGGGAGTTTCCGCACAATACATGTTTCACAAGCCAATCTGACATGCTTGAGGTGTCTAAGTACATACTTGATGGGGCCAATCTTTTGTGAATGGACTTTACAAAACTAATGGTTTGAGTATCCACTGTGTGCTGTCCATATTCGGTGCCACATTATTATTATTATTATTTTTCTGGTATACAGTTATAGAGCATGATGAGGATGATTTTATCGGCACATGAATTTTTCGTCCCCTTCTCACAGTCTTGTTTTCTATTGCCATCTGAGATTTATCTTAGTTTTGTTTGAGTTGGCCAAGTATATATTTCATTGGGTTCTCTAGCCGGGGAAAGTACGTCCAAAGAAAATGGACTAAAGAAAGTGGCTTCTTTTGTGGTTTTGGATTGTTCTGTCTTTTTGAATTATAGGGTGGCTTGATATGTCATGGGGAAAACAGAACAGAACCAAAGCTGCAATATATAGGAGGATTTATTACAATGGTCACCGTTGGCTCCGGTGATTCTCCAGCAAGTAGCGAAGATAGCATTCAACTAAATTTGCAGATTTTGGGTCTACATATGACTAGTCCAACCCTGTAGAAGCAAGCAATTTACTGAAAATTGAAAATGTTCGTGACCAAACCAAGGACTGAATAATGCATCTGATGCATGAGTCCTTTTGCTAAAATGAAGGGAATGGAGCTGATAAGAGGCCCAGCAAAAGAGCCTGATTTATTGGAAGAGAAGATTGTAAAAAATCTGCTCAAAATTCCTTCCTTACAAATAATCAGGAACCGCAAGATTTAAAAGGCACCATATATCTTTTGTTATATCATGCACTGGTTACATTCACATGATCTAAATGCTTTCATTGTTGTAAACAGGACGATCTGGAATATCTGGGGAAGGTTGTAGCTGGTTCCATTGTGGCTTCAGCTGTTATAAAGTATGGAAGCATAGTTTTTCCTGAGATAACCAGACCCAACATCGTACAGGCTCTTATCATGATATTAACTCCTGTTATTGTAGCCGTTTTGCTTTTGATCAAGCAGAGCCGTGCAGAGGGGCGAAGCTAGGAATGCAGGCCTGTAATTTAGCACATATCCTCTTCGTATATAAGACAAATTTAGCTGGTTTTATAAGAACGTATAAGCAATCAGATTTTCCTGGGTAGCAAGATTGAGATATGGTTGATTGTATGATGAGGTGCTGTGCAAATGCATTTTTACAAAAGCAAAATAAAGAAAAGAGAAGCTTGATGATGCAAAACAATTTCTAATCTTAAAGATTTTGTTCTGTTTAAAACTCAATATCTATATTTCTGCGGGTCTTGAATGTTAGAATCATACTACATCATGGAAGCTATTGTTACACACACAATTACTGTTGTAGCTTAACCCTTGTGTCCAGTTTCAGTCACTTCATGAGCCCTGTATTCCGGAACTGTGAACCCCAAAAGAAGGTAATTCATCAATATTTGTGGAGCTGCTACAAGAATTCCAGTGATTTCTTCCACATCCATTTGAAAGCACTGCCTGTAACATCCATTTGGTCTACTTGAAAGTAAATTCAAATACAGGGAAAATCTTCAATCGCTGAGATAAGAAAATCCCATATTACATGGAAATTGTATATAAAACCCAAGAGAAGGCGACAAGCCAGAAAAAAGAATGATGAAGATTGGAAGCTGAACCAGATTACCATTGGGGTTATTTGACAATGGCTTGAGGAAAAAGTATTTCATCGTGTTTCAAAAGTGACTGCATCAGTTTCATTGTGGAGGAAGTTTGAAAGCTTTATATGAAAGGAAGACAACCACCAAAAAATCTTTCTTAACTAGAAAGCTTGTTAATTTAAAAATTCAAGGAAGGCACCTCGGTCAATGAACACTTGAAGAATGAGATGCAAAGTATCATCAATCAGGTCTTCTTAATGAACATGGTGCTAGATGATGAGCTCTCCTTCTAGTATCTACTAGCATGTTGAATAAAGAAACAAGAAGGAATTCCACATATTCATCTTTTTCAGAGGTTTTAGTCATAGAAAAGAGGATGAAGGAATAAAAGTCGAAATTCTCATCCTCATTCTTATGGGAGGTCAACAAGTAAATCAAGGGAAAGGAAGGATGTTACTTGTCATCATTGCAAACTAGAATGCCGGAAGCTCAAGCAGGAGAAAAAGACGAAAAGGACGCCGTTATTGTATCATTTGATGGTGATGCTACATTTTGTAGAAAATTACATAAACGAAAGAGTATATGCAGATTTCATTTTCCGATGTATCTGCAGATTCACACCAAGAATATCAAGAGTTCATGATTGAATTATTGTCTATTAATGTACATATCTGACATTTCAGATCGGAGTGATATATAACAACAACATCTCAACAGAGATCATAATTACGCTATTGGCTATATATACATACATATCGGATATTATAATTAATTATTTTCCTTACTGTACAAAGGTGAAGCTGCATGACAAGATTATCTTAAAAGTGTGAATTCAAATGAGACTTCCGCGTCGCATGATCCACTCTTCCCTCTTTGGATGCCATAAAAAAGCTTCGGCTGCTGAGATAAGAAAATAAATCCCATGCCATATGCCATGATGGAATATCATCAGATAAGAAAATAAAAACCTTCAGCTTCAGTAAGTCTAGATGATAGAGTACCTGGAATTAAGGAGTGGAGTACGAGTCTTCATGTTCATGTTCGAGTTCAAGGTAGACTGATGTCCCAAGTTTGAAGCACCATCTCCCAAGTTTACTCCTTCAGCCAAATTCATAAGTTTGTTTCATCATCAGTTTGTTGACATGGAATTTCCCAAAGAAAAAAAAAACACATAAAGAAAAGAAGAAAATTTGTGATGATAAATGAATAATAATTACCAGAAGAAGATGCGGAAGCGACACTTAGCTCTCATCATCATCAGTTTGTTGTTGTCCGATCCAAACTCCGTCTTTTTGTACAAATTCACTACTTCGTCCGATCCAAACTTGGATGTTTGGGATGTGAGAAATCTTGGGCCACTCTCTTCCTCCTCTGCCTTTTCGGCAACCTTGTGCAAGAATCCGACAGTCGAAACCCATGACAAGCTCCTTGAGCGGTGTATTTCGTAAGAAGTTGGGCAGTGTTTTAAGCAAACCACAATAACCAATTCGTAAGGAAGAAAGGCAGGGCATTATTGTAATTGTCTTTTGAGAATCCTCTTCTTCGCTCCACCCTGTCATTCCTTCCCACTCTTCCCACTCCGGCAAGTAGTAGAATACAAGTGTTTTCAAATTTGGGAATAAAATAATTCGAGATGAAGAGGATGACGATGACGATGAAGAGTTGAACATTAATCCATCTATTCCCAAAAACTCAACTCCTACTTTTTTCAAGCTCGGCCAATCTTGTATCTCCAGTACTTCAAGGGACTCCAATCTCCCCAAAGGAGGCAAAAACTCAACAGAATTGAAAAATCCGAGGTAAAGGCTTCTCAATTTGTTTAACGACGTCATCCAATGGCGCTGGAGTGTGGTGCCACTATAGTGATAGATAGAGAATGATTCCAGATTTGGAGGTGGTTGTAAGGCATTCAGTGTTTCTTCCTGGCATGCCTTAAGAGGAATCTCATCTGTTCCACCATAAGAGAAGCGCAATTCTAGACTGACAAGGCAATTTTTGTTCACCAAATGCGCTTCCTCGGCCTGCCTCGCGTCCTTCTGATCCTCCGGAAATTCTATTCGAAAACTCCCACGAAGCTGGTCCAAGTTTCTCAAATCACTTAACTCGAATAATGCTTCCTTCTTGTTATCAACGTCAAGGATGCGAACTTGATCTAGCGTTCGTAGACTTGTTAACCTTGCAATCCCCTTGGGCAACTTTAGACGAAGACAACCCATAACATAAAGATGCCGCAAGTTAATTAGCTTTCCCATGCCTTCAGGTAATCTTTCAAGTGCTCTGCACCAAATGAGTCTCAAGGTTTGCAAATTCATTAAATTACACAAGCTGTCTGGCAATTTCATCAAATCTTCATTATAAGACAAATCAAAATACCTCAAATGTGCCAATTCCCCAACCTCATTCGGAACTTCTTTTATGGAGTTAAAACTCAGATTCAACGTTCTAAGGCATTTTACTTGTGAAATTAACTTTCGAACAAAACTAGTAATCTTTGAATCAAAAGTTGTAAGAGTCCGTAAATTCTTGCAATTGCACAAGGAACTCGGAATTAGTGGACCTTCAGGTGCAAACCTTAATGTCAAATGACGAACCTTCTTATATCCATCAAACTCCATTATTCTTTTATTATTACCACCCTCAGCCTCCAAAACTAAGCATTCATTCTTAGTTAGAAATTGTAGAAAGTCATGCACAACATCATGCATCTTGCACCCCGTTATATTTCCAAGTTCATCTTTCTCAAATTCTTGAAAGAAAGAGTGCTTTACTAAGTTATCAAAGTACATTTCGCCTACCACTTCTTTTTCTTTGTTTCCAATTGAATCAAGATAATTTTGTGACATCCACAACTCAATCAAGTTATCTTTGACAACGTTATAATCTTTTGGGAAAATAACACAATACAAAAGACAACGTTTGATTGCCGGGGCCAAATCATAATAACTTAGTAACAGTGATTGGAAAACTTGTTCCTCAACCACATCTAACTCCCATATCTTACTATTCAAAACGTCTTCCCATTCTTTCCTCGTTTCCTTGTATCGCATGAGACCACCCAATGTCTTTGCAACAAGGGGCAGGCCCTTGCACTTTTTGACAATTTCTTTACCAGTAAATTCTAACACTTTAGACTCATTTTTTTCTCTATCAGCCAGTGCAATGTGATAGAACAATGCCCAACACTTTTCTTCACTCAACACCTCCAAATTGACAATATCAGTGGATGCTCCCACCACCATCCTCGCAACTTCCTCTTTTCGTGTGGTCACCAATATTCTACTACCCACAGCCCCGTTTTGTAAAGGTAGCATTAATTGTTTCCACTTACTATAGTCTTGGTTCCACACATCATCTAGGACGAGAAGGAACTTCTTGCCCTTAACGGACTCATCTATGATGGACTTTAGAGTGTGCAACTCATTTGAGGCTGGGGTCTCTTTTTTCAGACCCTCAATGATGGCTTTGGCAATTTTGATCTCATCAAAAGGATCTGAGACACAAACCCATATTCTATTGTCGAAATGGGCTTGAACCCTTTCGTCATTATATGCAAGTTGGGCAAGAGTTGTCTTACCAATTCCTCCCATCCCTACAATTGGGATGACAAGGAAGTTTGGCCTTGCTTGACCACTCTCACTCAACAACCTTTTTACTAATGTGTCCTTTTCGACTTCACGACCAAATGTCTGATCAACGAAAGAAGAACTTTTTTCTCGTTCAATTTGTTCAATTCCTCTTTTCGTGGGTCGAAACTTATAGATATGTCTTTCACTAGCAATCTGATCTAATCTTTCATTTAGTTCTTTTATCTTCATAGCAATGTGAAGACGAAGAACAACTTGATGGCAAAAACAAAACCAAGGGGCAGGAATGCAGAAACATACCTTCTTCGTAGTACTTGTACTACCAGCATTACCAGCTTGTTTTTCTTGTTTCTGAATATGTTGTTTCAGAATTTCAGTACTCCACTCGTCCAACACGTCGTCCATCTCGTAGGATAAATCCTTCAAACTGTCCAGCCAGTATCTCACGTCCACCTCCTTCATTTGCCTCTCCTCTGCATTCTCGAGCACAACGTGAATAGCTTGGAAATTGCGGGTGAGTTTCTCCACTTCTTTCTTAACATCCACAACTAGTCTGAACTCTTGTTCTACTTGTTTTTTGATGATTGAGGCCAACTGTTCTAGGAGCACGGAAATGAGTGCTTCAGCCATTTGTTTGCTCTAGAAATGGATTTCTAGTGGAAGAAAAAGGAAAAGAGGAAAAGGAAGAAATATTTTAATGCAAATGATAACAAGGTACGTAGTGTTGGGATTTGTTGTAGGCATTCTCATTTCTCCCCAGCTAGTTTTATAATGTTGAGGCTGAAGAATGCTTGTAAGGCAATTCAGGCATCACCATGACAAGAAACACACACTTGCCAATCAACAAGAATAGAATTTATCCCTTCCACAACTTGTTTGTTTCTTTTCTTTTAATTCAGGCATCACAACCTCTTATTCAAAAATTAAATAAATACAAGGCTTATTCCCACATTCTTTTCTTGTTTGCTTGGTCGAAGCATCTCCAAACAGCCTCGTATTCAAAAAATTAAATAAATAAAAGGCTTAGGCCATGTTTGGTATCTTACTTAAAAAATAAACTCAAAAACTATAATTCTTTCTAAAAAGATGAGTTTTCGAATAGTAATTTTAAGATTTAAAAACTCATTTGGTATTGAACACCAAACTATTTTTAAGACATAAAAAATTTGAAATTGAAATTAGATACCCCAGATTCACAAATTGAAATTAAAAGATGACAAAAAAATTTGTGAGATTTCAATAGAAACCCAAAACATGAAGAAAAAAATTTGATCAATTTTGGGTTGGGTAGTGGACGAAGGAGACCTTGACGGAGCTGCAAACAACGGCGTTGAGCCAGAACCTAGAAAATTACTTTCTCTAAGAGCAAGTCCAGCAACTCGTTTTGGACTCGGGCTGGGGGGGTTTTGGGAGAAAAACGGACTCCAACAGCTTAGGCTAGCCCGAGTTGCATGTGGGGGCCACAAAGACGGGCTGGCCCAAGGACAGGTCCAGCCCCAGATCCAAAACAAGGGCAGGCTGACGTCAGCAACAAAAAAAATTTAAAAAAATCTTAAAAAATCTTTAAAAATTCAGATTTTTTTAAAGATAAATACTTAGTCATATTTTTCACTTCCCACACCAAAAATCTTATCCGAAAATATTGTCCAAATTAATTGTTTAGGTAAACAAATTTGTGAAAAAAAAAACAAAAAAATGAATAGTGTTTGCCTTTTGTCATGTCAACTGCTGGAAACACACATTGCTTTTTGCAAGGGCAGCAACTATTCACGTGAATAGTAGCTGCCCTAGGCCCCCCCCTTGCCATGGCAAGGGTTTCACTACTGGAAGTGCTCTAAGAAAAACTTTTGAGGGTTTCCTCGAGAGGACGGGAGAGGGAGGAGAGAGAGAGAGAGAAAAAAAAAAAAAAAAATCTCACTTCTTTTGTTTTCAATAATGTGGGAGTTTTTGAGTTTGTTTTGGTTTTGGGATTTTTAAAATGGCTCTACCAAACGGGTGTTTTTTTTAAAGTTTTTTACTTCAAATCTGTTTTTGAGTTTATAAAATTGGATCCAAGTAGAATACCAAACGAGTCCTTATTATCTCCTAACTTGTAATGAAGCTATGAGATCGACAAGTAGCTATAAGTATATGTTCTAGGGCTTTTGGAGACATGAGTTTAGAAAGGCAAAAAGTCACTTTTGGTCCCTGTAGTTTGCCTCTTTTATCACTTTGATCCCTGTTTTTTCAATTTGGTCAATTTTGTCCTTGTAGTTTCAATTTAAAGCAATTTAAGGACAATCATTAATTTCTGTCAAATTTTTTTAATTTCTGTTAGTTGTGGAGGGGTATTTCGGTCAACAAATTATTAAAAAAATTTATTCATTTTAAAAATAAATATAATAAAATCTTCAAATTAAAAAAATAAAAATAAAAAACAAACCCAGCCAAACCCAATTCCACCCCATTGCAACCTCCCAACGCGCCAAAAATTTAAAACAAAAAAACAAGAACAAGAACAAATATATCTTAAAGAATAAATAACAAAAAAAATGAAAAAAGTGACAACAAGAGCAAGAACAATCAAACCAAACCCCGAAAACGCCACCCCCATATCGTCCTTCCCAACCCCGATCCAACCTTCCCCCGTACCCACCACCTAGATCCACCAGTGCAAGGCAGTGGGTGGATGTCCCAAACAAAGTACATCAAGGCCGAGTGGTTGTCTCCTCACACCCGAGCTACGTCTTCACCGTCCGATTCGATGACCGAAGAAAAGACTCAGCCTTTGATCGAGACCGGCGAGTTTGAGCTGATTCCGGTCGGGATGAACTCCGCGGGTGAGACTGAGTTGGACGAGTCGGTATTTGAGCTGTTGGAGAGTTCGGGTGAGGAAAAGAATGCGATAGTGGAGAAGGAATGGAAACCGCCGGAGTTGAAGCCCAAGAGATCTCAGACTGGGGTTAAGATGGTGACTGGTTTGGCTTCTGTCATGGAAAATGAGCCATAAAAATTTTGATATAATTTTTTTAAATTTTTTGGAATATATTTCTCTCTGTTTTTTTTCTTTTTCTTTTTTTGACCGTTTAGATGAACTGAAAGATAGTATTATATATGCCTGTATATGCGTATATGGTAGCATAACCGTTTGATCCCTTCTATGTTTTTTTATATAAGGGTCGGATTTACTGATAGCAATAGAAACTCTCAAAGAAAATAGCTTTAAAATAGTTTGTCAATTATCTGGGAAAAGTTGATATTAGTCTCTGTGAAATCAAGGAAAAGAGCTGTTTTATGTTATTTTTTTAGTCGTTTATGATATTATTTTACACTCCATGATGCTGATGTTTAATTGTTTTATTGTTTACAGGAGGAGGAGAAGAAGATGGGCAACATAATTCGATGATGAAGACTGAAGAGAACTCGGAACACACTCGTACTGTCTGGGGAAAACCCAATTTTTTAAAATGCTGAGATTCTCTCCCAGCGTCATGTTTCTGTGATGCCAAAAGAAAAAGGGAATTGGAGTTTTGATTAATCTTTTGGACATGAATTGGTTTTCCTTCGTTTGATTTGATCTCATTTGGTTATCCTTAGTTTATTTGTTTATATCTGGCGTTCAAAAGTGCGTAGTAGCTTGCTTATTTGCTATGGTGGTGGTTCTTGCAAAAAGCATTGTCAATGTGGTTAAGCAACAAACATTTTGTGTTTGAGAAATTCAGCTTCTCAATGTGGGGACTTAAGTTAAGAGAGTCAAGACAAATAGATCTGGTTGGTTTTATACAGTGATTAGTTGTTTGTTTAAGCTTTTGCTGATTAGAGATTGTGGTGTCGGCAAGTCATGTCTACCTCTGTTGTTTGCTGTAAGTTGTATAAAATTAGGCATCTAATTCTACTTGGAGCATTCCCTTAAATTGCTTTTTTCTTCATCTTTGGGCTTTCAGTTTTTGGCTTTTTTTTTCGTTGAAGGGACTCTAACGATCTGCCTTAACTTCCTTTTGCTATCTTGTGCTGAGATTATGATTTATAATGGGAATTTGAATATAGAGATGTCAGTACATGTATTGTTGTGATGAGATTAGCTTTCTAAGCTTTCTTGCTTTTCACTGTGTGATTCTGTTGACAGCTGAGAAATATAACCAAAGGTGATCATTCCCACCAAGAACAGAGTTGTGGAGGCAAAGAGAGGCCAAAAGTAACCCAAAATGGATATGAGTCTAGGGGCTGCATACAAATTTGAGAAAAATATTAGTGAAACCAAGGTTGCTACGCCTAAATGAAATATGTACTGCAGAAGCTGTGGTGAGATATCATCCATGGCTTGCTTTGCTTTCTCAATTACAATCACAACTCTCAGAGAGGGAGGGAGAGGTTATTGACACTACCTTCAGGAGTATGCTGATCTTTTAGATGAGTTTATGAGCGCTGTCAAGCAAAATATGGGGAAAAAGTTCTCACACATGTTGCTTCTTATATAACATCTTATATATTCATAGGGTTTCAGGAGCATTAGGAGTTTGTTCTCGAGATAAATATTTGTTGATCATTTGAATGTACTTAAAAGAATTTTCGTGTTTATTACTAATTTTGTGAATTTTTTTCAGGTGATTTCTTATTTTTATTTTTATTTTTTCAAATTCTTATTTTTAATTTTGTGTACATGTTTTTTTTATATAAAAATTTAATTATTTCTGATACTAAATAATCTAATAAACATTAAAAATTAATTTTAAAATTAAAAAAATTTTGAAGTCCAATGCAGTCCAGCCCATACTTGTGCCAAACAACGGACTGGACTTAAGTCCAGTGCAATCTAGCCCAATTAAAGTCCAACACTCTAAGCTCAGTACTAATTAGTCCAATTCAGCGCACCAAATAGGGCGTAAAGGTATGCATTAGAACAAATGAAACCTCGGCTACCGCACATTCAATGTCTTCATTTGGTGGCAAGTTTGGTAAGGAGTCGGAAATGTTTTGACGGCATGGCTCATCCATTTTCTGGAATAAATAAGAAAATCTAGAGCCAAATTTTGGTCAACGGTGACTGTAAGTTTGGAGTGGACCTCATAAACACACCAGACTAGAGGTTGTCTCTCAGCCATTTTATAGCACCGTTTGCGACAGACCTGCGTATTCCAAAAACTTGTTTGGTCAATTGCATTGCACATGATGGGTGCATTAATTATGAAGAGAAGATAAAAGTAATGCATCTGAAGAACAGAATATATATCATCTCGAGAGCTTGTGATCAATTGCAGACTATACATGTTTGGATATGCCAGTTTAAAACAGAATAGCTCAAGGAAATTTGATAGCAACCAAATTTTCTATATATCTTTTTTGCCTTTTCTGGAAATAGATTGAAAATTTTCACTCAGTAGTTAATGACCACAGTAAGCAGTATTAATACTCGGTGGGTGGACGAAATGAGAGAGAGAGAGAGAGAGAGAGAGAGAGA